TGCTGAACACTTATGATGATTCACTAGAGACACCAGATTACGCTTTAGCATTACACCACCCAAAGAATAAAGGCCACACCACTGCTCTCTAACAAAGCTTTGAAACATTTTTTGTAAAGATCAAGGTAATCTTTAAATAACTTAATTGCCTGCCAAAGCAAACTTCACATACTTTTTAAAAGAAAGTGACCAAAATCCAAACATTCAGCAAAATAATGCTTCCAGTGTTTGACATCCATTTTAAAATGTCTAGATTTTTAAAGCGCTGCAAATTTAGGCCTATAAGCAGGAAAAAAAAAATTTACAACAATAACAAAAACACATCAAGGCACATCTTAACTTCCTGAAAACCAGTGATAAAAAGAATAATCCGTAAAATATTCAGAGAAAAAAAGACATATTACATATAAGGGAAGACAGAAAAGAGTGATCTCAAAATTTTCATCAGCTGGACACATCTTTGAAGTGATGAAAGAAAACCTGTTAAAAATTCTATATCCAGCAAAAATCCCTAATAAATGAAAAATAAGAAAAAACTTCTTTTTTCAAAGAAACAAAAGCAAGAAATTCTTTTCCAGGAGGCCTGCACTACAAGAAATGTTAAAGGAAGTTCTTCAGACAGCAGGAAAATGACACCAAAAAGAAACCTGGATCTATACAAAGGAATACAGTGCTAGAAAATAGTAAGTACATGGTAAATACAAGATATTTTTTCCTTTTTAAAATTTATTTAATAGATAATTGACTGTTTAAAGCAAAAATAGTAACACTGTATTGTGGGGTTTAAAACATTTGGGGAAGTGAAATGTTTTTATAAAAATAGCACAAAGGGGCTTTCCTGGTGGCGCAGTGGTTGGGAGTCCGCCTGACGATGCAGGGGACGCAGGTTCGTGTCCTGGTCCAGGAAGATCCCGCATGTCGCGGAGCGGCTGGGCCCGTGAGCTGTGGCCGCTGAGCCTGCGCGTCCGGAGCCTGTGCTCCGCAACGGGAGGGGCCACGGCAGTGGGAGGCCCGAGTGCCGCAAAAAAAAAAAAAAAAAAATAGCACAAAGGATCAGAGGGGGTAAACAGAAGAGTATTGTTTTAAGAGTCAAAACTACAAATGTAGTGGTATGACATCATTTGATGTTAGTCTGTGATAAGCTACAGGTGCATGTTTGAAACTCTAGAGCAACCATCATAGAAACAAACCCAAGAGTATAGCTAATTAGTCAAGGGAGGAGATAAAATGAAATAATAAAATATAAAGTCACAGGTTAAAAGTAATAGGAAGGAGAGGGATAGTCTACATAAACATTAATCAAAAAGAGGCTGGAGGGCTTCCCTGGTGGCACAGTGGTTGAGAGTCCGCCTGCCGATGCAGGGGACACGGGTTCGTACCCCGGTCCGGGAAGATCCCACATGCCGCGGAGCGGCTGGGCCCGTGAGCCATGGCCGCTGAGCCTGTGCTCCACAACGGGAGAGGCCACAACAGTGAGAGGCCTGCGTATCACAGTAGAGG